TTCTTGCTTACCTGTTAATTGATAAAAACAGTAAAGTTTAGCAAAAACATTTGAAAAACAAATTTAAAAATTGTTAGTGTTTTCAGCACAAATTATAAAGTATTTCCTTAATATACTGAATGGAAAAGGCTTTAAAAATACTATGAAAATTAAAACTTTCTGTTTTTATTTTCGTTATATTTTTATCTGCTTTTTTCCTCAACTTGTATCAATTTTGGTAGTGAATTTTACTTTTTTCAATTTTCAATTTTTTTTTTAGTTTATTTCATAAGATTTTCTATTTCATATAGTATTTGTTTCCTTTCTTTAAGTATTGCTGTTTTATTCTTTTTGTATTTTCTTATAGCTTTATTTTGCCACAAATTCTTACTAGTAAAAACCTGGTCAAGTTGTTTCAAATAATTACTTTAAGTGTGGATAAACAAGGCGTTCAATCATGCCTTCATAGGAAAGCTTATACACACACACATATATATATCATTTCTATTTTTTCAAAATATTAGAGACTGGTCCCTAAGTCTAAAACTTTAAGTTTAGACTTAGGGACCAGACAATCGTCTTCAATTGAAAATTTTATTACTTAAACAATTCCCCATAGATTAATTATATTGTTAAAAAAAAAATCTGTTGCTGCTTTTATAAAAAAAATTTATTCAACTTATATTATAAATTTTTTTCAACATTTATAATTGTTTATAATATGAAATTTTTATAATGAAATTATTTGGTTGTTTTCGGTTGAAAGTTTTGAATTTTTTTGATTGTGTGAATAAAATTGAAAAGTTTTAACATTAAAAAAAAAAAATTTATGTTTAAGCTGTGTTTTAAATAGGGGCACAAAACTTGTAAAATATACTTAAGATGCAGAAATAAAAATGGTGTGCACAATTTTTTATATATATCTATATCTAAGTACATAAAATTTTGCTAATTTAAACGCAGCATTGAAATCACTCTTGTAATAATTTACTTTTGTACATAAATTTTACTGATTTATTGTTTACAAATTTTACTGATTTACGGTTTACGAAATGTTATAAAGTTGGTTAGTCAGGTAAGTTAATGATAAAGATTATGAATATAAGTGTAATGGAGGTACGCTATTAATAACTGGTAAGCAGTTTGGTACATAATTGTTTAGAAAATTAATTCACTGATTTTTATAATTATATTGTAAAATTATATTTATATTATAAATTTATTATATAGTAAAAACATCTACTATCCAATTTAGGATATAATATGATTTTTTTTTTATCAATCTAACATGCAGCACTTTATCAAATGCTTCAACAAAAACTAAAATCAAAAAATCCATCAAGTTATTGTTTTCTTAAGCATTTGTATTAATTGGCTAAATAATTTATATTTGTCAAAAAAAATATTAACAAGTTGTTGCAACTTGCTTGCTATATCTTCTCTTTCAATTACAATGTTTCCTTATATTTTCTTTAAATTTTAAAGTAACTCTTGTAACTTTAAAAACTAACTCACAAAAATTTTTAAATAAATCTCTGTATAATACAAAATTATTAGGAAACTTTAAATTAAAGGAAATTCAAAAAATAAAAATAATTTTATAAAACAGCTTTGTAACAAAAAAAAGTCAATCATTGACTTTTACTTCATAAAAAAATTAAACAACTTTTATCCTAAGACACTTTCTAGAAGTACAATTGTAAAACTATTAAGAAATTTTATTATGCAAACTTTGTTATATAGAAACAGTTTTTTAAAAGTTTATTGTATTTTCACAATTAAGTTTTAAAAAACTGTTTAAAAGATATTAAAGCATTTTTTTATTAAACATATTTATTAGAAATTATATTAAATCGATTTCTAATGAACTTTTAATATTTTTGTTATTTATTTGCAATTATTTACAATCTTTAATCAAAAAAATACACTTGTTATTTAAAACTGACAATGAACTGTGAAAGATCAAAACATCTATAAAATACACACAAATATATATATATATATATATATATATATATATATATATATATATATATATATATATATATATATATAATATTTATTACATTATCTTTTTATATATTGTTAATTCAAAACTTTTTATTGTCATTGTAATGATATCAGAAAAAAAAATGAAGTAGGTTATTTATATAAACATTTTCTATTTTAAATCATAACTCATGTTAAGGTTTTTTTTTTTTTGTTTAATTTAAAAGTATACAATATCTATTCATTAGATAAAAAATAGCCCAACCTGGTTCTAGCATCACATCTTTTTGACTGCATAGAGAAGTCCCTTCCTCCATGTTTACATTTGTAAGTAAGCTCGCCAAACTTTAATTTCGAAGAATAGGTCTTATTATACGTCCTATTTCTTTTTAAAAGATTTTCAATAGTTCTCGAATCTCTACGATATAATTTAACCTTATTTTTAATTTGATATTGTTGTATAGTTCTCTCTAAATCTTCAATACAGTTAAAAGAAGTTCCAAGCTTTATATTAGAATCTATAAAATCGTCGTTTAAGTGATCATTAGGAAAAATGCTTTCTTTGTGGAGTTGAAATTCTTTACTCTTTTCTTGAATTCCTTCTGCAAAAATAACTAACTGTTCAGATGGTTGAAAACTATTAACAAGCGGATCAGTACTCTTAGCGATAACAACATGCTGGTTTGAATCAGCCATATTAACGGCGCTGTTATTGTAATCGGTTCCGTAAAAATAAATTACAATAAATTGTGCAAGTAAGTATAATCCAGTTTCACACGACTGTTGAATTTTTAATTGCGTTTCCCATAAATTGTCAAACGCGCGTCGTTAGGTTAGGTTTGTATAAAAAACTATAATATATAAATATAATATTGATTAGTAACGGTGCCTCCCTTTTCAACATAACCCAAATGAACAACACCTGTTGTTTTGAAGAAGATGTAGAACATGTTTTTTGGTAAAAATCTGTCGCTTCTTACAATAGTTCCTGGACTTTCAACTTCATCAACCTAACTAGCGTTAGCCGACTTGTATCTAACTTGTCTTCTTTAAATAAAGTAGCCTATTTGGGGGCTTATCTCTACCATCTTTAAATAAAGTAGCCCACTTGGCAACTGTACTCTATTTTGGTACTTGGTTACCATGAAATAAAAACAAGTTATCTGTTATAGCTTGTGCTGAAACTCTGAGTAGGGCACGAGTTTTAATAATGCACGATATTTAAATTTCCCCACTAATTTTTTTTTTTTTTTTAAACGTGTTTAATAAAATTCAAATAATGTAAAATATATATTAAATATATATTCAGTATATAATAGGAAAAGAATTTTTAACTAGAAATAACTCGACTCGAATTATTTAAAACACCAACTCAATTTTTGACAAAACTTGTTAACTGAAGGTGTTGTGGGGCAGTCCAATAACTGGATTCGATCCCGGACAATTTCACCAACCCTCAAATTGAAATTTTTTTTAATGTTATTCATACTTCTGCATATAAAACATCTTTAGACAAGTGGTGGCATAGCGCACTTGCCTAAAGATGTATTATATGCAGAAGTATGGACAACCGTTTTTTAAAAAAATTTCACATAGTAAATTGATCCCAGTGATAGATCCAGCATTTTTTGGTGTTTGAGATAGCTAACTTCCAGACATGGAGCAAACTCCAAACTTTTGTATGTTTATACTTATGTCAAATAACTATGCTTTACAAAAAAATTGTAATGATTAGAGACTGGGAAAAAAAAAAGCCCTAAAATGTCATTCCCCTCCTTCCCCAAATATGAGAGCAACAAGTTGATAAAATAATTTTTTGTTATTCTCAACTATTTATATTCATCAATAAATTTTAAGTATCATTGTACAATCTCTAAGCGTTCAAAAATTATAACCATATAAAACTTGTAACCCCCTCAAATTGAAGGAGTTTAAACTTTATATGGTCATAATTTTTAAATGCTGAGAGATATGAAACTTTTAGTTTATTGATGAATATAAATTTAGTTAAGAATACCACAAAAATTATTTTACCAACTTGTTGCTCTCACGTTTGGGGCAGAGGGATGAAATTTTAGGGCTTTTTTGTTTCCTGCCTTCAAACATCGCAATTTTTTGCAAAGTTTCATTATTTTACATAAGTATAAACATACAAATATTTAGAGTTTCCTCCATGTTATCTAATTGTGTCAACAAAAATTTTAACAGTTGTTGACAAGGAGAGGGGGGAAAGTCAAATAAAGTTGACGTTAAACAATGTTATTATTTTAAATATGATTAATTATTTTAAATATGATTAATTATTTAAAAAAGGAATAAAAAAAAGATATTTTTTTTCAATTTTAGTATATTTGGGGAGTGGGAGGAGGAATCAAATATTTACGCCATTTTATAGGGGGTTTATATATGGAAGTTTGACAAGTTGTTGATAAGAAGGGGGGGAGGAGTGAAAATTGCTAAAATATTGTTGACATAAATAATAGACAACCCCTGTAAAGTCGTGTTATTTTGATTTCTAAATAAGTATTAAGCAATACATTTATACAGAATCTGTATAAATATATAAAAAGCATTTTAATTCTTTATTGGATTTTGAAATTCACCATTTGATGGTGAATTTCAAAATCCAATAAAGAATTTAAAGCTTTATTTTGACCAAAAATTTTAGCTTAGACCCAAAATGTTTACACTAACGGTTGTTCTTAACTTAATTTAAGTCACATTAGTACGAACATTTTTTTTTTTTTTTTACTATAAACGCCAACAAGATTTTTATTGTATTTAACCAATAAACTAAAGTATGAAGCAGAATAAAGAATGAAACAGAATAAAGAATGAAGAAGAATAGAGAATGAAGCAGAATAAAGTATGAAGCAGAATAAAGTATGAAGCAGAATAAAGAATGAAGCAGAATAAAGTAATTATTTAAAAAATTGAGTGTTAAAACATTCCGATTACATAAAAATACCAATTAGTAAACTAAGGTATTGATGGAAAACATGTCAATTGTTGACACGAATCATTTTACTTACTTGATAACTCGGCGATTTTTCCCTTTCCCACAATATTTTTTTTTCTCAAATGCATTATAGCAAACATATTTCAATGAGTCGTATCTCAAAGAAACATTATTTATTGGAATGGCTTCATCTGAATTACAATATAATTTTACATTTCGAGCTTCTCTATAAAGACCAACAGCCTCTACAGCTTCTTTGTATGAGTTAAATTTTGCTCCAGGATAAAGTGTATTGCTTAAAGGATTCTTCTCACTTCCCTTAATGAAATCACGATTTTCAAGATGATATCTGTGCGCACTTGCTAGAGGAAATTCTTTAGTTAAATACATCAAAACACCTAATTCTTCAACTATTTGACCTTTTTTTTTTGCTTCAATGAAAAGCTTCATTTTCTGTTTAATTGCAACTGATACTTCTGTGCGATTTCTTTTTGTATCTTTTGACATAGTATATTCAGGAAATGCATAAATCTTTTTTACTGAAAATGAAACTGGACAGCCAAACTTTTTAGTAGGCCTTGCAAGATGACGTTTTTGCAAAGTCTCATCTTGTTTGTTTGTTTTAAGATTTAAAAGCCTTTTTCTAGACAAGCTTTTGTCTTTTCCCTGAGCACAGTGGTACTGCGCATGTCCTAGCACAATGAATGGATATCCAAGGAAAGGTATACTTAAATGTCCACTGTTCAAATGCCAACGAATACAAGGTAGCTCATTTTTTTTAAAGCTATGACTATAATCTTTAACAACATCTTCAAGATTAACTGAAAATAAAATTATAAATACTCAACTTTTTAGAGTTTATAAGAAAATTTTTATTATCTACAACTTTCTGCAAGTTCCGAAGCTTTATAAAAAATGTAATAGAAAATACGTTTTAAAAAAATGTACCCTGCTTGGAATAATTTCTTGACGACATCACGACACAATAAGCCGTAAGTGTTTCACGTTTTACCTTTTCAAGTGCAATATTAAAGCTATCAAGGTCATTAAATGTTTGAAAATCTTGTAAACGGTTTAATTGAAAATTGTTTATCACAACATGTGAAGTAGATTCATTTTTCTGAACACTGTCTTTAAAAAACCTGGTGGTTACATCATCTGAGCAGACAACAATTTGTTCTTTAGAATTGGTTTCAGATGCACTTTTAATAGAATTCTTTTTTAGTAAAGAGGATATATTTATTGTACTTTGTTTAATATTCACAGAACTTGGTACATCAGGAACATATTTTGCAACTTCAGATAAATCTGTGTTAAAATCTATAGTATCATCATAATCATTATGATTTAAATAAAAATTTGCTTTTCTTTTTAAACCTAAGAACATAGATTTACTAGAAGATTCAGCAGCTACACATTCAGCCTTTTTTTTGTCAATTTTTTTATCCTGTATTGGGTATAATGCAGATTTATTGCTAAAATACAAAGTTGATTTATTTTGATTAGACCCGAGGTCTTCCCTATCCACTTCATCACTTGTAATGTATTGATCTGGTATTCCATCAGGACAGGTAGACATCGTCTTTTTAGAAACACACATTGCCGTCATGATTTCTGAGGTCCGCAAACTAAAAGCAAAGAAAAGTTTTTCATTTATTTTTAACAGCAAACAAAAGTGGATGTTACTGGGGTGCTTAATACAATGGGGAATGGAGTAAAAATGGGGATGGGGTGGAAATGTTAGTCCAGATTTAATAAACAGAGGGGGGAGGGCTTAATGAAAGGGTGGATGGAATTTTTCACAGAACACGAATAAACAATTTAATTACAGTGTGGCTTGCGGTCAAATGCACATTTTTCAACAGCTGTTTCAATATAATACAATAGAATTTAATATGGTTAATTGAGTTTTATACTATGCACAGTAGGCCAGAATTTACTTTTACTGGACAAAACTAATAACTCGTCATATAAAAAAGATTTAAGGATCATTTTTGCACTGTTTACTAATTTGAGGATTGCAGTTTCAATGGTGACATTAGTTTTAATATTGGATTCCTATGGATATCTAAACTGTTTAGCAACCACATATTTTATTAACCATAATAAATATAAACGAATAAAAGTAAAAACATTATCGAATTACTCCCAAAATTAAGTATTTTTATACTACAAATGTGGTACTGGATTTTCTATTTGGTTGCTAGTGACACCTGAAATACCAGGCAATAGTTCATTTTGCATAGTTACTAGCTTTAATTTCTTAAAACATCAAAGTTATAATTTAGACTAACAATCATGTGGCTGTATGATTGAAAATTATTTTATGCATATAAAAAATTAGGCACATACCCAATTACTAATTTAAGTTGTTTTGATGCAGCTCCAGGGCTCCATTTCACAAATCTACTACATAATTCATATAAAAAAGAATTTAAAGCTGAAACCTTTTTGTGTATATAATAATATAAATGCTTTGGTGTATATAATAATATAATTGTTTTGGTGTATATAATAATATAAATGTTTTGGTTTAAAATTATTTTTTAAACCAAAACTCATTCTGATAATCGTAAAACAGCTTTAGCTTCTTTTTTTTCACCATCTTGATGCAAACTACAACCTTGATGCAAACCTTGATGCAAACTACAACCTTGATGCAAACCTTGATGCAAACTACAACCTTGATGCAAATAATAGCTCTGAGATTAGACAAGTTATTATTTGCAGTTAAGTTCATGCAACTTACAAGTGCATCCAAAATATTAGGATAAGCTAACTTCAAGTTTTCAAGTAATATATATGAATAAATATCATTGTTTTCAAAGTTTTAACTATACAAAAATCATTTAAATTGAAAAAATCTTTAAATTGAAAAATCTTTAAATTGAAAAATCTTTATTAGAGACCATGCAGACATCCTCTATTATAAACCAAATTTATATTGATAATATACATATTGAACAATGTATTTTAAGTCTCAAATTACTGGACCACCTTGGACTGCAAAAGTATTCAAACATATAATGAAATTTTAACTGAAAAAAGTACTTCAAATACACTTTCATTTGAAATCATTTTATTTGACATAACTTACACACAAAATAGTGTTGCAATAGCTCATTTAACAACCATTTTATGCTCATTGATAACACAAAAAATACTATCAAATTTAAACAAAAAATTTGGAAAAAAAAAATGTTTTTTATTCTACAGCTTAGAAGCATACGGCATGATAATTATACAAAAAAATATATAAAATTTTTAAAAAATACAAAAAATTTATATACATTTTATCAAAGCGGAATGTTTAAGCTATAAAATGGTATATAATAATGTAATTTTGGGAAATATTTTTTTTTCACTTTTGTCCACCACCTAGCCCACTGTGCTATGGCGAAAAAAAACAATCTAAATTTTGAAAAATTTATGAGATGTTTTAAAAGACAGCGACTTTTAAAGCCTAAATACACTGAATGTTTTTATTTTTATCAGTGACTATATTTTTTCCAGATTTTTTTTTGATAACAAGTAAAAATTAATAAACTGGGGGTCTAAATAAGCACGGGGTGGGTGGGAAAATTTTTTGGAAATTTACAAATGTTCACAACAAAAACCCACCCACCTAGACGACCCCTAAGTTGTATTCAGCACCTTAGGGGTCACCCATAAAGTACCTACGCTCATAGGGGGAAAGGGGAGGTCTTGAAAAAGCGCACGAAAGCGTGGGGGGGGGGGGGAGGTTCAATTTAAAAGTACGTACATCGATTTTCCAATTTATCACAATTAACCAGCTAATCAATGAAAAAGTTAAAATTCTGACTAAAGATCCTGGTTTGCCAACATAAAAAGATGTTTGGTATAGGGAGTAGAGGGTATAGTTTCCCTCAATTCACATACATACAAGAGTCTCGCAGGATTTTTTGATGTTTCAGATAGTACACTTTCACACATTATGCAAACTCTAAACTTAAGAAGGCGGGGCCTGGGAGCAAAAAAGCCCTGAAACGCCCCCTCCCCTAAAAAAAAAGAGGAGGGGTGTAAATTTTGTATGGTCATAACTTATGTCACTTACAATAATTTTCTACAAAATTTTAAATCTGTCGATAAATTTAAATTTAGTTTTAGATGGTAAAGTTGAAATTTTACTACCCTCACGCTTGGACGGGGAGGGGGGTAAGTGGCAAGCTTTTTTGTTCCTAGGCCTCTGTCATCTCAATTTTTTGCAAGGCCTCCTCATTTGGCATAGTTATACTTAAATTTTAGAGCTTGCACAAATTTCACACATTTGGCATTGGCATACTTATGTTTGGAGCTTGTGCAAACTCCAAACTTAAATATATCTATGCTAAATGTGTGAAAGTGTCATCTAGAACATCAAAAAATATTGCGAGCCCCCATGCACACATGCCACCCCTTATATACTGGCCCTGAGTTAAGCGTATTTCATATATATAAATAATATATATATATATATATATATATTTCAGGCAAAGCTCCTTAAATTAAAAAAAAGACAAAATTTTTTTGTTCCTTTCCCCCCTACTTCTTTCCCCCTATGGGGAAGGGGGAAAGAAGTAGGGGGAAAGGAACAAAAAAATTTTTAGGCTTTGTTTTCGATATTACTGATCTCGCATAGGACTCATTTTTAACAGACTTACTAAATAAGGGGTGTCTAAAAAAAGGTCCTCTTCACATATAGTTTATTTTCATTTAACGAAGAGCTTTTGGGTCATATAAAGTAACGGTGCCTCCTTCACTTATTATTTTTCCATAAACTTTTTCATTAAAAGAAAAAGTTGAGGGGGGAGGGGTATTTCAAAAATGTACGTACCTTTTTAGGGGGGGAAGGACTTAGAAAAACGCATGGCAACAGGGGGAGGGAGGGGGTCAGATTTCAAAATTTTTGGCGTACATACTTTATGGATGACCCCTTAGAGTAATAACAAAGAAATTGCATTTAATTTTTTTATTTCAACACACAAAATTAACATTTACTAGATTTGAATACTTAATACTACATATATATATTAGTTGAATACTTAATACTACATATATATATATATATATATATATATATATATATATATATATATATATATATATATATATATATATATACATACATATATATATATATACATATATATATATATATATATATATATATATATATATATATATATATATATATATATATATATATATATATATATATATATATATATATATACATATATATATATATATATATATATATATATATATATATATATATATATATACATATATATATATATATATACATATATATATATATATATATATATAATATATATATATATATATATATATATATATATACTTTAATGAGCAAATATTGAAACAAATATTAAATCTATTCACATGGATCATTTAAAAGAAAATTTTATTGCTTTTATTTTAAATATAGCAAATAAAATTTTATGCACTATTACTGATGTACATATCAGAAATCTTTTAATCTGAAAAAAATTGCTTCTAAATTAAATAAAAAAAACAATATAATGAAATAGGTTTTGATTTAAACGTCTTTTTGTTGTTGCTAAAAACGTTAAACTTTTTTACTCCATATAAACACTTTTTGTAATTTTCTATTATTTTATACTCTCTCTATTTATGAACTCTTGTTTTAAGTCTCTTGCAATTTCTCTCTCAAATTCTGTGTCTTTGTTACTAAATAACTTTTAATTGTGTTTATAAAATGGTTTAAAAAAAGTATTTATTACCACCACTATTTTCATTATCACCACCACCATCACCATCATCATAAAAATCATTTCGAAAACTTTAAATTTCAAACTTTGTAATAGTTTTAAAATCTCAACATTTGTTCATAGAAGTATAGTTACAATATTGTTGATTATAATTGTGCTTTTTTTTTTTGTGTGGAGTTTTTTAAATTTTGCAATACTAACACTGGCTTATAGCCTTGTTCATACTGGACTACAATATGTAACTCTTTGCTAATATTTTATACCAGGAATGCACCATTCTTGGGTGGGCATAAAAGTATTGGTAAAAGTTACATGTGGTATCATATTTTTGTCAGCAACATACAAATAAAAAACGCCAGCCAGTACAAAATAAAATTTAATTGAAGCTGTATATATGGTTTTATGATTCATTACAATTAATAATGAAATAAGGCAACCTTTAGATACAATTTTTTTTTAAACATCTTCACTTCCAACAAAGCTGCAAGCAACCGCTATTAGTTGGAAGTTACTGGAAGAGAAAAGATGAAGTTTATAAACCTTATTATAGCAATTTCAAAACATTTTTTTTTAAACATCTTCACTTCCAACAAAGCTGCAAGCAACCGCTATTAGTTGGAAGTTACTGGAAGAGAAAAGATGAAGTTTATAAACCTTATTATAGCAATTTCAAAACATTAATACATAAATGTTGAGAACTAAACAATTATACATAATTGTTTAGTTCTCAACATTTAATAGCTTTAAGGTAAGATTATAGAAAAAAAAAATTAATTTTTTATTTGTATGTTGCTGACAAAAATATGATACCACATGTAACTCTTACCAATACTTTTATGCCTGTGGAAGAGACAAGTATAGCCTTTTATGTTATGTTGAAGAAATGATGCTTAGGATTTATATTTAGAAATTGTATATATTATTTATATTTGAAATTGGCATATTTTATGATTTATATTTAGAAATTATTATAGGTTTTTTTGAATCTGCAATGCAGTGACATTTTTTGCCATAATACAGCACATTTTTAACACAAAAGTACTATGCCTTTTGTCAAAAAATGAAAAATTTTTTTAGCACAAAAAATGCAATAACTTCAGCTTTGCTTAACTTCTAAAGCTGAAAGACCCTTCATTTTTTTATCTTCACAAGATTTAAACAATCATATTAATTAGATATTTTTAATTAAACTTTGAAATGGTTATTTTCTCCATAGCAATCATTTTTATTCTAATTAGATACATTTCTCTACTGGAATTTCTCGTTTATATTATAATAAAAATTCCACTACCGATTACTTTCAGTGTAATTTGCATTTCTCTTACATCGAATCTTTCCCCATCTAACTTTGCACACATAAATGGTTGATATCACTTAAAACTGGGTTTATTGATTGTCACACTTTAGGTGGAGCAGATATAATTGGAACTATCATCAAATATTAATTTTGACATTAATCAGGTCATGTTGCCTAAAATTGAGTAGTCTTCAGTATTTGTTAAAAACTTTTATAACTTTTCGCAGTGATCTAGATTATAGCAGAAAATTTATTTAAAAAAATTTGTTTATAGAAATACATTTATTTAGAAAACTATCCCCTTGTCAACACCTTTTAGGTAGAGATTGATTTTAGTTCACTTTTTAAAATGACCTGATATGATATTGTGTAGATATTGATACTGATATGATATTGTGCAGATATAATTATACTTTGTCGGATGGATTTCCACTAACTTTGCAACTCTTGAATTGACACTTTCAAAACAAATTGTTGAGCTTATTAAAGACAAGAACCTCCTTATGTAAAGAAAACTTTATATGATAAAATTTGTTAACTACTAGGAGACTTTCTAAATGAATTTGTTTGCTAATACTAATTTATATATGCAATTTTATTCATTTTAATACATTTTATTTATAATTACTAACTTATATAATTATATATATATATATATATATATATATATATATATATATATATATATATATATATATATATATATATATATATATAATTATAAAATTATATATATATATATATATATATATAATTATATATATAATTATAAATTATATATATAATTATAAAATTATATATATATATATATATATATATATATATATATATATATATATATATATATATATATATATATATATAATATATATATATATATATATATATATATATATATATATATATATATAATTTTTAATTGCTCAAAAAAATAAATAAATCTCATTTATTAATAATGTTTTGTTTATATTTAAAATATTTAATTGTGTTGTTACTAATAGTATTGATTTTTTGTTAATTAACTAGGAATCTAGTATAAACGGTATAACCAAATTTGGAAAGTAATGTCTAAAAAATAATCACTTAAGTACCAAATAAATATTTAAAAAAAATTAAGTTGCGTAATTATAAAAAGTATAAAGTGGCATATATTATGAAAAATATCATAAAAAAATAATTTAATTAGTTACTTACTCAGTAAGTGGCTCAGCACAGCAATCTATCTCAAAGTACTTTAAAATAATGGCGGAGGTCTTCGTATTTCTTTGGCGCTTTGTTGTTGCTTGAACTCAAAATAATGACCGGAAAACAAAATGATGACCGGAAAAACAA